AAAATTACAGTGATGAAGTAGCAACAAAAATAATTTTATGGTTGGGGGTCACCACAACACAGGGAACTGTATTAAAGGGTCACAGCATTAGGAAGGTTGAGAACCACTGCTTTAGAGAGAGGAACAGCAAGAATAGACTGGAATTGGCCCAGGCAAACTAGGAATGGGTGGTCACCCGATTAATGAGATGCATTTTCTCCCATGGCCATTGGTATCTATGACAAGCTTTGGATCCTCGGACAAACAGTGTCCTTGGTTGTCCTCATTCAGACTGCTTGCCTCTTATGCTAGAAGCCTCTGCTAAGGTCATGTTATTAGCATAAGTCTCCACTTAGGTCATGTCATTAGCGTAAGGTTTAACTTGTCACTCAGGAACCTCTCAAAAAGGAAACAGGTTTTCTCTACTTTGAGGATCCCACTGCCTTGCCCAGATGGCCTCTGGGTAACCTAAGTTTCTGTCCTTCTCCCAACATCTGGCTTTCTCCCGGGAAGCCATAGGAACGAATTCTTAAAAGAAGCCGCACACACCCTTCTTTCAGATCCACTGGCATAAGGTGCTTCAGCAGTTTTCTCACCTTCAAAAATCTCTAGACCAAACCCTGGCATCTATCTCTAAGGTCAGCTATATTGCTAGTTTTGTTTTTAGCAGGTTTGAGATACCTATTAAAATTCAATTCCATAAGTCAGCTTTGTAGGCACATCCAAAGGGGCTTCAAAGTGTTCTTGGGGAAATTTTGTTATCTTCTAATTCCTTTTATCTTGAACTTTTTGAAGCCCTCTTGAATAATTCTGGTGAGGAGATCAAGGATGGAAATGTCAGTTGGGACATATAGCTTATGGATTAAATATAGAGAAGTATTTTCCTTTGTCACATCCACACAATCCCTGTTTTCCAGAAGAACATGATTCTGGCAGCCAGCACATTTGAAACAAGTTCAAATCATGAGAAAATGCCAGAAACATAAGTCAAGGGTTCGAATGGTCTTAATGTGATGCAAACCAACGCTAAGAATTATTTCCACAGAAGTCTGCTAAGACTGCCATCAACCAAAAGTGAGACCTGTGTGAAGACTGGCCTTTCGAAGAGCACAGAGGACAATCAGTAGACATTTCTAAGTCATTTGCATTCCAAAACCGATACCATGGGCATATTTCATACCTTTGTCATCCTTGCTTTACGCAAATAAGAGAGAAGGTCTCCTCCTTCCATCAGTTCTAGGATAATATACTGGGGCTCATTCATCAGACAAACTCCAAGCTGCTTCAAAATGTTTGGATGATTAAATTTGCTAAAAGTTGGAAAGAGCGAGTAGGGTCAGGTGACAACGATGGAATTCCTACCAGGGCCTTTAACAGTGGAGCAATTCTTCACTCGCATTTCCCTTCAAAACCATGGACTATTTTTGTTCTTTACCAAGTGAAAGCCTCATTTTCCGAGAACTGACCACCTGGTCTATGCGCTTGCCTTAAGCAGGGCAGATGGCAACCCCTAGTGGCCAATGCATGCGGACAAAAATAGGCTGATTTTTACAAGGAAAAAAATTAATATTAAAATGTATTGAAAACTAAAGTAATTTTGACTAACAAAAGATATTTGAAAGCATTACATTTTTTGTCTTCATGTCCACATGTTTAGCGGTGCAATGAAGACACAGATGTTAGGCTAGACTGTTTTCTCAAGGCATCAAAGCAGTCTAATCATTAGAGCTCACAGCTGGGGACTCCCACCAGCCTTGAGTCTTCTCTTAAGATGTCCTGGAAGTGTATTCTTGGCCATATATGACTGAAACCTTGTAGACCCTGGATATTTTCACTAACATTATTGTACTTAAGGACACTCGCCCTGCACATTTTCTACACATTTAGAGGAACACAGCATGTTTAAGACTGAGCAGCTGCAGAATTTGCTTGCAAAACACACTCCATACTGAAGATGTTTTTAAAAGAAGTTCATTTTGCCCAGTGACTGTCTACACCTAGGCTCAGAAAACTGGTTACTATAGCATGCTAATGGTTAACACATTTCCATTTAAGTCTTCCAATTTTGCCTTGTTTGTTTTTGGCATGAGCTGTGGTTATGGTGAATGTAAAATGCTTCCTACCCTTTCATCCCAAGGGAAATGTACTCCAGAACTACCTCATCAGATGTGCCTCCTTCAAGAATTCAATCTTCTCCTGGTCAGTGGAGCCTTTCTTTAATGTCTGTGAAACATTTTTAAAAAAAAGAAAAAGAAGCTAAGAATCAGTGTAGCAGACATTTTCCATGAGTTCATGGGTTAATGGAGACGATATCTGTCTTGTAATATACACCCTGGATGCTAAAGATAGATAACGCATGCTGATTTGTTCTGTAAACTTACTCAAATGCCACCTCTCATTGTTGTTAAAGATGATGCAAATGGTTAAGTGTTCAACTACTAGCTGAGAGGTCGGTGGCTCAACCCCACCCAGGAACACCTCGGAAGACAGAAGTGTCTTTTCCTGGGCAAGAGTTCTCTGTACACACGGAGTCATCATAACTCAACTTATTACCCTTGTGCACAGAGAGGAAAACCTGCTAGGCAAAATGTCTATATCTACACAAAACACCCACTGCCATCAAGTAGATTCCAATTCAGTCCCATAAAAATGTAGAGTTTTCAGAAGTAGAACAAGTTTAGTTTTTAGATTCCTCTCTTAATTTTATAATCATGCAAAAACTTTTTAAATCATATTATTTGAAAATGAAAAGAATTTTGCCAAGTCTTCTAACTGAATAGCTGACCCTCAAAAACAATAGATCCCTAACCAGTAGTGATCAGGATTACTCAGTTCCATAAGAGATTCATCATCCCTCTATGCAAAGAAAGCTGTACAGAAAAAAGAAAGCATATCCTATGCTTCCTAAAAAACTACATGAAATAGACCATGCTGAGTAACTGTGTAGGGCAGGGGTCAGCAAACAATGGCTGCCTGTGGGCCAAACACAGGCCCGTCACCTAGTTTTGTTCATCTGTACTTTGTGTTTTCTCAATCTGTGAGCTGAGAATTATTTTCAGTTTTGAAAATGGCTAAATAGAAAAAGATGCAGCATTTCATTATGCATAAAAGTTATGAAATTCAAGTGTCATTCGTAAATAAAACTTTATTGGAATACTGTCACCCTCACTCATTCACATATTGATTGTCCGGAGCTGTTGTCCCACTACAACAACGTAGATGAGTCCTAAATTATGTTCTAAATGTGTCCCTTTAAGAAAAGGGTGCTGCCTCCTGGTGTAGCAGCTAGAGACTGTCTGTAATAACCCCGGTGGTTCTCCGAGAGGATGTTTGAGTGGGGAAAACATGGTTTGCCGGGTCTTGGCTAATTTTATAGTCTTAGAGATAACATGAACTCCTAAGGTTTTCTTACAGAACCTATAGATAAAATAGGAGAAATATGTGATTTCGATAGCCATGGGTAGGCTTCTATAGAATACGAGTCCTCTTGTCTACTGGAATCAATCACCCCTTATAGTTTTGTTCACTTAAATCCAGCTGTTACACACTAAAATGGCATTTAAGGAGTTGAACATCCATCTTACCTTCACTGCTACTTTGGTTTCTCCACTTCCAGCTCCTAGAATATCTACTGCAGTCCCTTCATACACTTCTCCAAAGGCCCCACTGCCCAGCAAGAGCCGCAGGCTCAGTTGCTCCCGAGGAAAGGCAGGAAGATTTTCAATCTCATCTTGGGTCGGAAGAGTGCTGTGCAGTAATAAATAATAATGTTTGTTCCATCAAGATACAAGCTTGCATTGATGTTGACGTTAAGGAGAAAACGAGTGTAAGAGAGACGAGAGACTCTCATGGATGTACAACATTTGCAGTGCCTACTACGTACCACAGTGACATGGGATTGGCATCCAGATTCCCTCCCTATTCCACCACCTTTAACCCAGGCAGAACATGTCGTTTCCCTTCCGGGCAGGACATGTTGATGGAAGCACGTATGTGTGTGGATCGCCTCGCTATGTTTACTAGAGCTTGTTCTTTTAAAGTTGACCCGTTGCTGCCGAGTTGATCCCAAGGCACAGCAGCCCTTTAAGACAGGACAGAACTGACCCCTAGAGTTTCTAAGGCTTCAGGCTTTCCCGAAGCAGACCACCACTGCTGGGTCTCAGACAGCATCGGAAGGGTTAGTATCAGTGAGCTTTCAACTCAGAACTTAAGCACTGAGCCTCCAAGGCTGTCTGTTCAAGTTATTTATTCATCTTTTAAGATTTTCAATTTGTCTAAAAATATAATCTGTGAAAATAAAAGTTCTTAAAAAATCTTTAAATGATAAATGCATCTGGGCTCATGAGCCAAAAGAGCTTTCACCTTAATGGATTCAACCAATTTATCTCTTAGCTAAACATAATTTGACGTGGTCCTGAAAATTCAACTCCATCTCCATCAGGTGAATATTATAAAGTTAGGTTTTGTCCCCCTGAAATATGAGGGGGGAAAACATCTCCAATAAAAATGCTTTGAGTTCTTAATAGAGGGTCTCAAGGAAAGTCCCCTCTGAGAGGCAGTGTCTACTTCAAAAACCTGTCAAGGAGTCCAGATAGAAAAAGCATCGTTGTAAACTGATCGTGGTAGCCATTGTCCAATGCAGCTTGATGTGATTGAACTATGGAATGATATGATACATGTATTACTCCCAATTAATAATAAATTAAAATTTTAAAAACATTGTTCTGTCTGGACTTATATGTTTCCAGAAGTCAAGTCTATTTCTATAGAATTCTATTTTTCGTAAGCCATAATATCATGCCTTTTCCAAAGCGGCACTTAAATGTGTTCTGTTCTGATGACAGCAGAAAGTTAAAGCTCGTCTTTCTTACAATGAACTGGTCACTGTACAACTCCGTTAGAGGAATAAGGTTGACTTGGTGGCACTTGCAGGAAACCCTTGACATGTCTCTTTTTGAAAATGCTGCTTGCAGTTGGCCAAGTCATGCTGCTGTCTCCTCCCTTCAGTGCGGTGTGTCCCCGTCTGCTTCATTTGGTGTGAGGCCCTCTGATTAAGCACAGTGGACTTTTCCTCATTTTTGTAGGATAGGATAGGCAGATCATTTGTCACCCAGACCAGGTCATGTTTGAGCATGGAAAAAGATTGTTATTAATAGTTACGCTGGAGTAGCAGGCATAACTCAAGGCAGTCCCGGGGAAAGCAGATGGATGGTCATGCCGGGTGCTGCCGCCCCCAGGTTCCAGCCACCCAGGTTACGTACTGGATCGCATAGCAGGCGTTAGCCAGGCCCACGCCAGCTGCCACGGCTCGCTGCTCCTCCGGCTCCTTGTCGTTTGTGACAATGGTCAGCCTTTTCTTAGGAGAGTTTTGGTTCCTTAACCTTCGATGCCAGACTATCAGGAAAAAAACAAATACATAGTTTACCAGATAAAGTGCTGCCTACCCTTTCCTTTAGAAAATATAAACAATACCTTGAATGTTTATATATAAGAACACTGTGGATTAAATAACAGACCTTGATTGAACAAGCGCCAATGAGATAGAGGTCCAAAGTTATATTAAAACATGGAATTTATATCACATCACTGGGCATCTTTCTTGTATATTTTCTTTTGTTCTCAACAAGCTGAAATACCATACTATTGTTTCCGTGCCGTACGCCCACCCAGTGCCGACACTGATCCTCCCTAATAGGGGGATCATGAGTGATTTTTGTTGGCTTTCAAGAAATAATGAACAGATATTATTTTTATCATAAAAGAGTTCTTTTTACAAGGTCACGGTGCAATTTGAACAGTATTCTGTTGGAGGATATTTTATCAGAATTTAGAAACGGGAAGAATGCTTTGGAAGATGGTCATTAAAACTTGAGCTTTGTTTCATTGTAGCTTCTATGCCCAGCAGATGAGAGTGAAATCCTCTAAAAGGCCCAAAGGGGAAAGTCTGCAGTCCCTTTGTTCAGGGAATTTTTCAAACCAGAGCCATTCTCACTCCGTCATCATGTGTGAAGACCCCATGTCAGCCCAGCACCCTTCTCATTGCTAACAAGACCACGGCAACCTCTGCTGATCTCTCCTGTCTGAGCTTCTGGGTCCAACTGTGCCTCTCAGCATTTCTCCGGTGTGCCTGTCTGGAATCTTTTATATACTCTGGCCTTTTAGTATCCTTTAACACACATCTTGTGATGAATCTGTTCACAAGGTGTGTCTCACATCCCTCTTTCATGCCAAGTCCCTCGAGGTCAACAGTTGTGTTTTACTGCATTAGATTCTCCTCGAGCCTCAGTGGAAGGCTAAAGTTGTATTAGACACAGCTCCCCGAAGTGAAGGCTGTTGATGCTTCCTCTTAAACCCTGATTTCAATTTATATTTATAATGATCACTGTTGAAAGCTCTCAGCACCAGGCAAACTTTAAAATACACTACTTTTTATTATTTGAACCATTCAGTCTCGTCTCATGCACTAGCACACATCTACTAGTAAGACCACATGCACTGCTATTAAAAGCAAATGACTGAATTAGCTTAGCTGCACTCAGACAGAACAAAGATCTTTGTGAGTCCCGAGACAGTCAGCTATCCATAGGATGTCTTGGAGTCACTGTCAGTTGGCTGAAATCCTCTCATGGGCAGCCAGTACAATTATGGGTTCAAACAATAATGATGAACAAACAAGCAGCCAAGCAGAGGTCAGATGAAGGATTCTTCATGCAACACGCCTTCCCAGTAGGAAAGCAGACAAGCAGGCCAGCCTATATGCCAACTGCCAAATAGACTGCAGTCATATGGGTAATTCCAGCGGGGCTGGCTTAGTGGCACCAACATCAGCTGTGCGGTACTTAGACTCCCTGGAACCGCAGGTTAAAATCCTGGCAGGCTCGGCTGAAATCTTTAGCTTTCCAAGTTAGCTGAAGGAGCTCCACACATGATCTGGGTGGAATCTTTGGAAAGCCACCTCAAGTCAAGTTTCAACATGCTCTCTAAGACCTTCTAACTCCAATGAGCTTTGAGGGGAATAAATTAGATTTAGCACACTTGGTGAAATGCTGGCTTTCTTCTGGGAGGGTTCAACTTTATGTTTATAATTTTTCCTTTCTAATCTTTATTTGTGTGCAAAATAAACCACAGCTTCCTAAACATTGCCTTGAGCATGCTGTTCTGACAAGCGGCATGCCGTTCTTGTAAAACAGCAGTGTGTCAGAGATTGCTAACGTTAGCAATGGATGCCATGGTGGTTATTGGGCACTGTTGAGACCATTCCACGCACAGTGAGCCTGTGTGGCTGAGCAGAATTGCTGTAGAGGGTTTTGTCAGATGTAATCTTGATGGAAGAACATAGTCAGGTCTTCCTCCCAGGATCCTCGAGGTGGGCTCAAAACACCGACCTCTAAGTCAGCAGCTGAGCGCTCAACTACGGTACCCCCAGAACTCCTTTAACAAAGCAAGACATTTGAAGGCTTGAAACACGGAGTTACTGATATGCATAATAAAGCAACCAGGCATAAACCAGGATGCCTGGTCACCCAGTAGGTCTAATATGTAACTTTCCCTTTGTGGGTGGTCACTGCATTTTACCATCATGAAGCTAAATCGCTAAAAAGAAGAGAAAAAACTCTTAAGGCAACCACATCCATCTATCTACTACACTCAACTTCTCTGCTTTCCTGCTCATTTATGAAAGACAAGGATTTGAAATATGCAGCTCAGATGTTTAAGAGCAAGACTAGATCCTAAAATCCAGAAATGGATCTTCTACAAAAGAGGCCCGCTCATTCCAAATGCAGGCTGTCTGCCTTGAGACCAAAGCTCTCCTGTCCAAGAGTTTTCACTGACACCGCCCTCCACCCATTAATCCCACACGTATTTGTGTCCCCAGGGCTATTTTTCTGTCATTTGTCTCAAATTATAAACCAGAAAACACTTGTTATGTAGCCAATCAGAAATAACTATTTAAAAATAAAGTTAAATGTTGGAGTCCCTGTAACTAAAGTATACAGTAAAGTATAAATGCAGACATGGTTTTCATAATGGAGTTATCTCTAGGTCAGATGAAAGTTTGCAGAAGTCAGTGGTTGAGAAAATATAGCCCAAAGTAACATTATGGATTTTATAAACTTTACTTATTTAATCACAAGGTTTCATGGCCAGGTTAGATAAACCAAGAGCTATATCCATCAGTATGACCTTGTAAACAATGTGTTAGCTGCTTTTTAAAATATATATTATACATACCAAAGGACAATGGGATTGTAACAATCAGAAATATTCCTACTATAATAGCAAGTATAAAGCTTGTTTCTGGGAGCCAAGGAGTATCTAATGAAAGAAATAGAAAAATATGAATCATTACAATAAAGCTAGATAACCCCAGTGTTACATCATGTACACATTCTTGGGAGTCCAGAGCTACTTCCTAAAAATAATTAGAAATCAGTTGCTGAATGGTTATTTACACCAAGGGAAACTGAAACCAGAGCTCTCTTCCCACCCCCACCCCTAACTCCCAAAGTTGCTCTAGATCCAACACACCATTGGAGCGTTCTGGTCCAATCTCCTACATTAAAGCCCCTGAGGAATCATTTGATGTATATGGAACAAGACGTTTTCAGTCAGATATAGTTGGATCATCGATTCTATAATACAATCTTAAAACACACAATGCCACATGTATTAACCTAGAGGATATCCAAATGAAAGCAGGATCCCCTGTTTAAAGAGGTCTCAGCCATGCAGAGGAGAAGAATATGTAGACCAGAACTTGGCAAACTGCAGCTCATGGGCCAAATCTAGCTGCAGCCTGATTTTGTACCACCCTGAGCTAAGAATGATTCTCACATTTTTAAAATGTTATCAAGAAGAAGAAAAGAAGAAGCAATCGTTATACAGATAAGATGCAGCTCCCAAAGCCTGAAATACTTACTGTTTGACCCTTTCTAATGCAAGAATGATAGAAGTTGTATACTGAATCATAGGTTATGTGTGCACAAAATGCATTAATTCCTTTTTCTTAAAGAGCATCATGTTGGGTCTATTTAAGCTAGGATTTGAAAGAGGAAAAGAATATCAATTGTCACAAAGCAAAGAAATGGAAATTCTGGCCCAGGAGCCTTGGTAGGTGTGTGGGGGTGGGAGGGTGCCTGCATTCTAGGTAGAGGGAAATATACGGTGAGTGACCTGGTGTCATAAAAGCTTTTTCTAGCTTTATATTCCTTCATCGTGCAGATAAACATTAAAAAAGACGTTCCACAAGTGGAAGCAAATCATAAAAGGACTTAAACACCATACTTGATCTGAAGGCAGTGAATGAGGAGCCAATTCAAATAAATCAGCGGGGGAGTAAGTGATCCAGTGTTTGCTTCAGCTGGATTCACTGGCAGCAATGTGACCAGAGCCAGAGTGCAGGCAAGAAAGTGTAGCTTGACAAAGTTCTGAAAACTTCCTAAACAACACAACACCTTCAGGGCATCAGTCGCTCGGCCTACAGTCTGAAGGACACCAAGGGCAATTTTCATAACATAGTGCACAAAGACAATGTTGTACATCCTACATTGTGAGTGGAAACGCCAGTCTTAAAAGCCGTCTAAGTTGCATTCGTCTCTCCCTATCTGGAGGAAAGAAGAGTGATGAAAATGAGAGCAATTAGTCCAGTGGACTAATGGACAATGCAAAAATTCGTCTCCACAGCCTGGAAACCTGAAGAACTCAATTTTACCTGACGACTACTACCAATTAGAAGGTGATTGAGTGAAAGGAATGTTTAGAACAAACCCCAAGACATAAAAGATACCTGGCTTATTGGTCAGATAGACTCTGGTGGAATCCCCAAGACTTATACCCTAAGTCACTCTAGTAAAAGAGGGGGAAAAAGAAATGATATCTTAAATCAGGAAAGGCAAAATAGTCATGGAGAGCTCAACAGAGAGACACGTAGATGGTGAAATGAACAGAACGTGAGGACCAGATAGAGTAAATAGCAAACATGTCACTGAAATGCATAGCCTACATGAATAGAAAGATGTGCATCACAAACTAAGACAGGAAACACAAAGGAAAAAAGCTATCATTGGCTGTTGTTGCATCAAACTCCAACTTCCAGCTACTGCAGGAGCAAAACACTACTCAGTTCATTGCATCTGGAAGTGCTGCAGAAATCTCGGCACCACAGCAAAGCACAGTCTCCATTGGCAAATGCCCTATGGGTGCATATGAAATGCACTGGCCAGGATTGAGCCCAGGAAGGAGACAGAGTACAGTTTTATGAGGTGGTCGGACCAGGAACAGCATAAAAATCTGAACAAAGTAACATCAGAAAATGGACAGTCGTGGACTTTATATGGAAGATATTTGGAGCAGTTGATTATTATTGAAGATAAAAAATGGCATGATGATTACATCAGATAAACTGATTACATCAGATAAGCTGAAAGGTTGCATCAGAGAATCTGAATAATTCACTAGTTTGTCTGATCAGCTATATGGTCACCCGAACTATTGGTAACGTAAGACTGTGCCTATCATTGTCACTGCACCTCTGTGCAATAAATCAGTGTAGACAAACATAGGAACATACCTCCGGCCAGCACAATACTCTCACTGATTCCACTGTATTCACCGAGCCCCAGCTTATTTGCAGCTGCGACTCTGAATTGAAATGTTCCTTTCAGGTTTTTGGACTTCCACGTGCAAATGCTACTGCAAGATCCATTGAATACTATCTTCCACTTTAAATTCCGGTTCTCGGAATCATTTGAAGCACCCATTCTGCAAAGCAAACGGTAAAGTGGTAACTAGAGCGATGTGTTTGTTATGACTCGATGCTCGTCGATCGGTGAATGCCAGAGCTCTGGAGATTCTCTTGTTGTACACTTTACCCTTCATCTCATTTCACCCCCATGATCCAGCTACAGAACACTGACTGGTCATAAAAAGTCATCCCAGCAATGCCTGGGGCCAACCCACTCAGCTCACTAGGAAAATAATGAGTAGCCAATGGCCAAGAGGCTGCTGAAGATCATGTTCCTATTGCACATTCCTACTGTTGGAATGTGCAAATTTTTTTTCAAAATTCACAAGACAGTTGGGAATTCTGCCAACATTTTAAACTTGTGTTTAATTTTCCTAATTTTTAACACCACCTCTGAATAAAATGCAATGTAAATACATCTCCACTACCAAACTGTTATTTGTCTCAAAGTGCAATGTTCAGTGTTTCCTTTTTTATGGACCTACATTCTGCCTCAAAGTAATGCCACATTGTGAAATTGGCCCTAGAAAAAGAGAAAGAGGCATTCTGATAAAGGGTATTGTTATTGGTTGCTGCCTAGTCAGCTCCACCTCCTACCAACCCTCCTCTGTACAACAGGACACGCCATTGGCCAGCCTGCACCATCTTCACAATTGTTATTAAGTTTGGCCTTTTTCTTGCAGCCATTGTGTCAATTCCCCTCATTAAGGGTCTTCCTCTTTTTCACAGACCCTCTACTTTACCAAGTCTGATGTCTTGTGCAGGGTGTGGTTTCTTGGGCCACGCTGTCCAGAGCCCATGCGACACAGTCATGAACCTTCTCTACTCAGGAGCATTGTGGCTATACGTCCTCCAGGAGAGATTGGTTTGTTCTTCTGGACGTTTATGATACTTTTCATATTCTTCACCCACACCACACTTTGAATGCACCAAATTGTCTCTAGTCTTGCTTATTCGTTGTCCAACTTTCATATGAGTATAAAACAATTAAAAATGCTAGGACTTGAAGTGTGCTTTAGTAGTCAAAGTTACATCTTTGCACACACAGCACACTATACTTACCGGTGCTCAGCACTCTGGTGTTGTAGTGGGCTGTGTGTTGGGCTACTAACCACAAGGTCAGCAATTAGAACCACTGACCACTCTGTGAGAGAGAGATGAGGCTCCCTGCTCCTGTAAAATGTGCAGCCCCAGAAACCCAGCAGAGACGTTCTACCTGGTACTACAGGGTCACTATGAGTAAAATTCAACTCAATGGCAATGGGTTTGGGATTTTATGTTTTGTGTTATACTACAGCTTTTAATGTACTGCTTCACGTAATTCAGTCTTCACAACAGCATAAAGAGGCAGGTATCACCACTTGCTTTTTATGGTTGAAAATACTAAGTTCAACAAAAGGCATCAAACTAGGTTTAAATATGATGTGTCTGATATATAAACCATAGATACATGAATGGATTCAGGGCTCACTCATAATTCATTTCCCAATCTAAGAACAATTAGTTCTTATGCATGCTTTAAGCTTGCCCTCATGAAGAGATCACTGGTGATATGGTTGCTATAGCAAAGTATGGTGAAGAAAACATATGGAGTCTGACTATTAGAAATAACACCTTTGGGGGGGGGGCGTTCTTAAAAGCATGTTTTAAAACAAGCATCCGCCTATGTGAGGTGTCAACTAAACCCACACAGAAGAAGCATACTACCCTGTGTGATCCAAAGATTATGAACAATAAAATCCATATCTGAAGGGGAAATGGTATGGTATCAGAGTTTACATTGTGAACATGCTGTTTGCAAAAGTGTATGGCTGACAGGGGGAGCCCAAATTCTATTGACAGGGTCCACATAGGAATTAAGCCTCTGGTGAATTCCCACTGACCACACACCAGGGAGGTGAATAGACTTGTAGTTCAGTGGGGTTTTCTTTTGTTTGTTTTGTTTTGATTTTGTGTTTTGGTGAGTATGTGTTTCCAAGATGGGTAAAGCTATAGAGTCAGTGGCTGCATTCATGGTTGCATGGGAATCTGGCAGGGAAGGTCAGAGGGAAATGGGTAGCTGAGAGCAATGAGTCCAAGGAAGAAGAAAATATTCTAAAATAGATCGTGGAGATTATTTAATTGTATGATATATGCATTATATGCCAATAAAACTGTTAATGAATAAATAAGAAATATGATGTATCTGGCTCCCCAGTTTGTACACTTTGCACTACCATTACCGCTGTAACTTCAGCAAATCCATGGAGACTAACTCGAGCATCCTCACTCAAAAATGTATTTCAAGATACTGATTGTACAATAGTCATTCTGTTTGCACATGATCTGTCATAACAGGGAAAAAATGAAGCATCAAATAAATGATGGGACGCTAACCACATGGTCAGAGGTTCAAATTCACCAGCCACATTGCAAAAGAAAGATTGACTGCTCACGTAAAGATTTACAGCCTCAAATAAAGTCACTGTAAGTCAACAATGACTCCATGGACTTGAGTCTGAGGTGCGATGGCAGTGTTCTCAACCAAACAATCAAATTCACTGCCTCTCAGTTGACTCCAACACAGCGGCACCTGTAAGACAGCAGAACTGCCCCTGTGGGTTTCTTTATGTGAGCAGCTTCATCTTTTTCCCACGATCACCTGGTGGGTGAGAACCACTCGCCTTTGAGTTAGCAGTTCAGGAAAGCAACAGTATTAAAGACGTGGCCTGCAGGGAACAGAGAATTATAGTCACAGACCACCAAGTCAGGTCTGTCGCTTAGAAGGTTTGGCTGATCCTATTCATTACTAAGATTATCATTATTATTTTGTCCCTTATTATTAGTAGATTCAGTATTGGTGACTTTGTATATTCACTAAAATTTATTCTCCTCCAATTTAATTTCAGAATCAAAACCCACTGTGCTTTCTCAGTAATTTGCATAAATACATAGAAAAGTGAAATATGTGAGTTGCCCAGTGTGCAGTCTCCTCCAAGATGAAGCAAGGCAATGATGAATGGTCTTAATTCAGTTCTCAAACTCTGTTTCGGAAGGATGGTGTGCCTCCACATCTGCCACGCAGCCACTGAAGCATACATCATGAGGCCAGGGCATTCTCTGTTAAAGAGCCGAAAAATGGGTCCATAGCTTTCTCCGAGTGTCTTCTCCTTATTAGGAAGATCTCTCTCCCAGTTTTGGAAACACAGTAATTTTCTCTGTCCTACTCATTTAGTGGTATTCCCCCCCCCATGCACATTTTTGTGCTATCTGTGGGTTAATTCACTCCATCAAATGGTCTCCAACATATTGCTGAAGTGACATCTAGAACTCCTGAGCACAAGAAAGCTGTAATACACAGTATGGAGAAAAGATGCATAAAATGCATAAGTTTAATTCAGGCATGCATTAGAGCTGTTGGGCATGAATCCAACATTAATGAATTCACTTGAAATATTAATTGAAGTTTCATTAAAGAGAAATAAATAAAGCAAGGTTGTGCATCGATAGGTTGATGAAAATACTGTGACAAAAAATTAAACCTGTATTTCCCATTGAAGGAATGATTCTGTATTCTTTAATGTGCAGTGAACAGAGACTTTATATGATATAACTACTCTGAATAATAAGGATCATCTGTCTTTCACTCTACATGAGGAACATAACAGAAATGTGAAGAGGTTTCAGTGAGAAACAGGACGAGGTAGTTCTCCCTAACTTGAGCAGGCGCACAATTCAGGTTAGGAGACTGCCAGAGCAAGAAGAGGCAAAAATAGATCTAAAGCTCAAGTTGCCAGAACTATAATTATGGAAGTGACTTTCATCCTTGGAACATCTTAAAAGATGGTTTCATAGTCCCGTGAGGGGCGTGTCTTTGGAATTTGGAATTCTCTTCCTAAGTTGGCATGAAATCAGTCCGTCTAAGCCAGTCCAGTTCACTGAGCTCCCCATTCTGGTCCACCCTAGGGTTGCATGTGTTCCTCTGTTACATGTTTTTCATCAGCAGCACATTATTCAGTCCCTGGGAACACACTGAATTTAGTAGACAGAGAATCCTATGTGACCTATGCACTTTAGACGATTTTAGGACATCATCAAATTTTCCATTTTGAAAAATACCTTGATCATTGCCAGTTCTCATTCGACATTGTTCATCTTCCTAAAACAAATTATCAGCAGAACTTGACATCCACACCGTCATCTCTAACACTGAACATCGACTCGGTTTCCTGACCCGCTGCTGCATTCGTTTTCAGTTGCAGTAACCAACGATTGACTGATTGAATCCCCTCCAAAAAGTTTGGATGAGGACTACCTTTTTCAGAGAGGAATAATGTGATCTGACCAAGAATACTAAGGCTGATGTGTAGGAATTAAGCAAACAATGCAAGGATGTACTCAAGATTCTTAAACCAAAGCTCCGTGTATTTATTTATAAATGCACCTGCATAAGTCTTCAAAATTCTGACCTAATAATACCTTATTGTTAAGCACTCCTATTGTTTACAAAGCACTTTTGCACACAGCAGATGTACCTGAGCTCAAGGATATAGTACAGAAGCCGGCTTCCATTATCTTCAGCTTTTTCCCACTGTATTGAATTTTCACTCCCTTCTAAAATTTTAGGAATGCCTGGTTTACTTGGGATTCCAGCTTTAGAAACAAAAGAAAATGTTGATTGTTACTTTAGAAGGGAAAAAAAAATCTACGTTGACACCTTTCTCTATAATATGTCTGCTAAAAGGAAAACAAAATGCACGAAAGAGATATTAAGAATTCTCATATGAATATATACACTTAATTGAGTATCTGAAGTTGTTATTACTGATAAACTAGGTAGATTACTGATAAGATAAATGTTGGATCCTAGTTTGACACAAAATAAATGAAAATTCAAATTCAGAAAACTACTATAAGTTTTCAAACATTGTCCCTTGATTCTTATAGGAATCAACTTGAAGTTATAATATGCTGTTTGGACCATTTATTAATTTAATGTATTTTTCAGATTTTTTGTGTCTGAAATACAGCAGTCACTAATTAAATATCTTATATACTTACCAAACTTTTCAAACACACTACAATTGAGTTAATCCTGACTCATAGCGACCCTATTGGACAGAGTCGAATTGCATCCCCCCCCCCCAAAAAAAAAAACCTCCTGAAAAAAATGTGTGATTCAAAGGCTCTACCTTTTTGTGAGGGTGGAAAAATTCATTTCTCCAATGGAGCATTTGGTGGTTTCAAACTGATAGCTTTGTGGTAGTGTCCCAACTCATAAACCACAACACCACCAGGGCTCCTTTTAGTAACCACCATATTCATGGAGAGCTGGTGGTGCTATCAGGTAAGCATTGGGCTTCTAACTGCAAAGTTGCTAGTTTGAAACACCCCCACACCCCAGCCATTCCATAGGAGATAAATGAGGTTATCTGTGCCAATAAAGACTTACAGCCTCATCTATCCTATATAGGATCTCAATGAGTCAGAATCAACTCAATGGAAGTGACTATTTTGTTTTGTTTTGTTTTGCTGTTAAGTAAATATTTAGCACTCAGTGGGTCCTTTGGGCATGTGTTCAGGAAAATCACTCCCTGGTGGATTAACGGTGGCTGTAGCAATAGGTTCACACATGACGATGTGGTTCAAATCCACCAACTATGCCACAGGATTGATATGTGGTAGTCTGTTTCCATAAAGATTTAGAGCCTTGGAAACTATGACTTGGAATCAACGAGAAGGCAATGGGTTTCTTTTGGCAGCACTACTATCATTCCATTATCACTGCAGAATGCAAGATAGATGTAAGAATGCAAAACAAAACAAAACATTTTGCTCACGTTAGAATCCTAGAAGACTGGGCCAATATTATCTCTTTAGAAGAGAATGCCTTTACAGACTCCTAATTCTTTCTAGTTTCTTCACTCAAATCCTAGAAACAATCATTTTAAGTACTCTCATTTCAGGAAAACGTCAACTTCTATGGTTAGTGAAATATAGGGTGAGAAACGAAACTTAGAAATGAATTTCCTCCATGCTGAATATGGTAGTACTCACCTTTTGTCTTAAAGCTTTGTGGAAGGGAGGTGCTATTTTCTCCTGTAATGTAAACCACCACTACTCGGACATTATAGGAAGTATAAGGTTGTAGATCTGTAATGTTACAGACATATGCAGGACCTTGGCTACACGAAGCTTTCACATGGTAAAACTCACTGTATTTCCACTAGGGAAAAATAAAGTCTTGATTAGAATTGTTTCTCTAAGAAAACTTGCTTAGAAGTGAATGGACATTTGTACACCCGTGCTCATTGCAGTATAATCACAATAGCAAAAAATATAGGAAACAACCTGAATGTCCATCCACAGAAGAATAGAGAAACCCACTGTGGTACGTACACACAGTACAATACTACAGAATGTTAAAGAATACCAAGAAAGCTACAAAACACCTCGTAAAATGGATGTATCCATAGTTCATTATCTAACTAAGACTATCACACACACAAAAATATTATAGGAGACCACTATTATGCAAGGTCAAGAAAAGATTTTCACACAAGATGATCTAGTCATTGACCGTTACTAGGGGTTGAAAGAGAAGGGGGAATCAATAACTATCTAGAAGGTAGACATATTGACGTGGGTAAAGGGGAAGGCTACAGTAAGACTGTAATAAGAGAGAGGTCATCAAAAACCGATAGAGGCAGAGGAAGACACAACGAGGAGTACAAGAGCCCAACAGAGCATTCGTTAAATGCCCTTTGATAGACAATCCTGCAATAACAATAATCTACAAGTGCATGCGTAGGTAGACAGACAAACTGAACAGGTGTGAAAGTGAAAATGAGATTATGCCCACGAATATATAGAGGTTTGACAGAGGATCCTTCTGTATATGTATTTCCCTGTCCTGCAACTAAATTCATGAATGTAGTGAAGCATACAGAGGCAAAGTTAGGAAAACTTTTAAACATAGTCTAAAATCTTGGGGGAATGAATCACTGGACCTGATGCCACCAAGGTCAACGGACAAAACAAAATCCACAAAGATGATGTTCTACATCCTACTTTGATGAGCAGCAACTGGGATCTTAAATGTTTGTGAGCAGTCATCTAAGGTGCAACTATTTGTCTTTCCCTACCTGGAGCAAAGATGAGTTCAATTAGTCCAATAGACCAATGGACAGCTCAAAGGTCAGTTCAACACGCGAAGAACTAGACGGTGCCTGGTTACCATGCTAAGAGATCTCATTAGAAGGCCTGGATAGAGGAGGAAAACTATGAACCCAACTCAGAATCGTTAAAAAAAACAACAAACAAACCAGGTTTACTGGTTGAATAGACACTGGTGGAATGCCAGAAACAATATGGCCTTACTCGTGTCAGACTGGAAACTGAATTATGATAGGTAGATTTATTATACCGACCTGGCCAATGGGAAAATGTGAGATTAATCAGGTCACAGTTTGATTGGAGGGCAAAGAGATAAATGGCTTGGCAAGCCCTGCCCCTCTCTCTCTTGCGCTCTGGTGATCAGATAATAGTGTGGCTACTTTAGCTAGTTCTCTGACTCAATTAGTGAGCTTCACTACCTGTGGGACAGCCAACCGATGGATCCTGGCACTAGAGCTTGAGGTGCCTTTGAGACCTCTTCACCATACTGCTGGTGTGTATATCACTTGAGCTTGAGACTTGTGGATACTGTCATCTTGCATTGCTTGAGTTCGATATCCCATCTGGGCCTGCTTCTCTAAACTCCTGAGCTACTTACTGTTGCTGACCCATCTGCTGCTTGCTGCCTGTGGGTGGGCTCTGCTTGCATAGCTCAAGGGAAGACTCAGCTGTCTGCTTCCTTGACATTGGACCTGGCAGCCCTTGGGAGTTGAAGGACTTCTAGTATATTAACTGCTCCACAGAAGTGAGTTGAACTGAGTCCGCGGTACTGCTGTGTGGACTAATTAGCTATTATATTCCTTCGGCTGCATAGATATATTAACTCTATAGTGACTCACAAACTGAAAGCATTTTGTTTTCTTTTTCTCTCCCAGTATCCTCTACAGATATTTGGCCAGCATTTCATTTTATACATAGGAAGCGTGAGTTTCCAAAAGAAGAATTTCCCCATCATCACTGAACTATTTAAAAATACCTCATAAAATAAAACCCACAACCTTGGGGTCCATTTGGACTCTTAGCAACCCTATACGGGGTTTCCAAGACTGCAGAGCTTTATGGTGTCAGACAGGCTCCCCTTTCTCCTGAAGAGCAGCTGGAGGGTTTGAACTACCACTGGTTAGTAGCGCAACACCTAGTGTCACCAGAGCCCACTGAGTAACTCAAATTCAGCCTCACTGCCATCAAGTCAATACTGACCCGTAGCTACACTATAGGACAAGGTAGAACTGCCCCTGTGTGTTTCCCGTGGAGCAAGAGACAGTTGGGTTCAAACTGACCTTGACATGTAACACACTACACCACCAAAGGGTCTTACATAAAACATATTTTACTTTAATTACACTTCAGAATACTGCATTTCTAACTCTAACTCCAAAGAGACCTAGTAACGTAGTCCTTACTCATTGGACTGTGACCCTTAGATGGGCAGTTCAAAACCACAAGCAGCTCTGTGAGAGAAAGGCAGGACTTCCTACTCCTGTAATGGTCTCAGAAACCCACAGGGGCAGTTCTTTTACCCTGTCCTGTAGGGTTGCTGTGAATCAGTATTAACGCGATGGCAGTGAGTTTTTCTTTCAGTTTTTGTTTAATCTTGACTCACTTAATCTTCTGTTTTCATGATATTCCTAAGGAAAATATGTGTTGGGATCTTAATATCATTACTTGAAAAGGGTTCTTGTTGTTTTCATTTGATATGCAAATAGGAAAGGTCAAAGATAACATGTTTTGTCCAAGTTTCCTGGTATGATTTCCTTAGTGCAGTTTCCTTTAAACATCAGTTTCCATAAATAAACTTTACATCGCCTTTTCCATTTAACACCCATCAAGGTCAAGACATTTCATTGGCAGACACTTTCTATTGGAAAGCATTTCATTTCTCACCACACAGCTCAGTGATGAGGGCGAGCCTTTCACTCGGAAATTCACTCTATCACTTTATAGTGGTTTTATTGTCAACTAGGAACAATTCTCAAGCAGCAGACCATGGCGTTTCAAAAGGAAGGGAATAAAAGAGTGGATGAAATGGAAGAAAGAAAAAAAAAGAAATGAAATGTCAATGTCAAGGATATTGCTTACATTCAACTGACGAACGTATCAGTCTCCACCTGAGACTGCAGTTGAGTGAAGCAGGTGCATTGAACTCATAATATTTAATCTGAACTCTCTTTGAGAGAAAAAGAAAGAGTTGGGAGAGACGAGCGACACATTTATTGTTTGCTCGCTTGTATCCTGGCCTCAAAATACCAGCCTTTTGGTCTTGCTTCTTGGTCATCAGTGTAGAAATCACCTTAAATAAGTAGCCGAGGTTTGCCAACACTCCAAACCACCCAGCAGTCATCGAACCCCACAGAGATGCTTGACCGAGCGATGTAAAGGAAAAGAGAATTTGTGGCTGCTGAAAGTGGACAGAAAGAGTCTCATTACAGCAAGGACTGTCCTGGACAGACCACCAACTTGGAGAGCTGCTCAAGGTATGCCAATAAATGTTAAGGGGATTTGAGAGGTCATTTGTCAGAGGTCAACAAGTGCAGGGTTGAAGGCTGCCAAAGAAGGATTTTCAAATGATAACAATAATTTTCAAAATGTTCCAAAGATCCTGATGTGTCAAAGATTGTATCCAGAATCATTGGGCCCTGGTAGGGCCTCTCCCAGACAACAGAGAAAAATACAATTCTACTGGACTTTTTAAGAAAATAAAACATAATGACTGGTTTTATCCCAATCATAAGTGGAACAGCAAATTAATCTCTGTATGGAAAAGAACTGTCCATCAAAAGTTAGTTTGTAGAACTTACTGCTTCAATATGCCAAGTCTGCATCAATAAATGTTGTGAAATATATTAATGTTGAGGCAAGCGAATGCCATACACCTATGAAAAAGGTTCTCCACTGTCTTGTACATGGTAAAACAAAGATTAGCATAAAAAGTGTATGGTGAGTCCTACCTTCTGGAGTTCAAGCCAAAATCTGGTGAGGTTAGCATTAGATGGAGCTTTCCAGTGTAACTGCAAACTGGTGTTCACTGGAAGCAAGGCATAAGGTTTCTCTGGTGTGCCAAATGTCTCAACAGTGACAGAATGGCTCTCAGTACACCACATTTCCTCGGGGTGGCAGGCCAACACCTTGTCAAAGAAAACAATCGTTTAGTCTTTTCAGAGACGTGTGCTTCAGAATGGCAATAAAATATGCCCGCTCTGCTCACTGTACCTTTAATACATAGCGTTTTCCACCAGACAGGTCAGTTACAAGGAGAGTAAGCCTTCCACCAGGAAACTCGCTTTCTCTTAAAGGCGTGTCAGGGATAAGGGGTAGGTGTGACACTGCCAGCTGATAGCGGACTGACTCTCTTGGTCCATTCGGCTTGTGAGATGCTCCCCAGGTTACGATGAGGCTGGTGTCTGACCTCACGGCGGTATGAATGAGCCGAACTGCTTCTGGTACTGAAATGAATAGGAATGAGAGACGGTGGATGCTGAAACAGCACTGAAGGTGGCAAGAAGGTCTTCACTGAGGAACATTCATATCAGAATGAGAGTCAGAAGCTGATATCATGGTATGGTAGTGGGCTGCCTGAAAGGTTCCCACTTACATCTGCCTAATGACTAACTCACTCTCTCATTCCAGCCCAAAGTTAGGGCTGAAGATGGTAGATGGTGAACACCCCAACTCTGGTGAGTTTTGTGAGTGCATCAGAGACATCCAAAAATAAGGGCATGACCTCAAAACTCCTCCTCCAACATCGTTTTAGATTCCAGATGCATTGTCTTTAAAGCACTGGTGTTTTATTACTTTAAATTTCAATGGCCTTTGAAATCCACATCAGGAAAGCTTGCTTTTCCAACTCTCATCATATAAGGAGGAAAGCAAATCAGCTGCCTTCAAATGCATTCCAATTCATAGTGACACTGTAGGACAGAGCAGAACTGCCTAGCGGTTCCCAAGGCTTTAATTGTTACAGAAGCAACTGGCCACATCGCTCTGCTGCAGAGCAGCTGGTGGATTTGAACCACCCACCTGACAGGTAGCAGCTGAGCACCTCACTACTGTGCCACAGGGCTCCATTCATCACAACCAGAGACTTGAAAATACATGGGATCATACATGGTGTAGCAAAGCAAGGACTGTGTTTCCTGTTCAAACAATGTTGCTTTTGATGTTTCACTCCCTGCTTGCTTTTCATTTTGAAGGAATATTGTTCACCATCCTCAGAGCTTAAAACCAGAGTCAGGTGATCAAAATATTTCCCTGTAAATTCATTTTTCTTACTAAATTTCAAAAGCTCACATCATAGAAATTTAATCTAAAAAGCTCACATTATAGAAATTTTAAAAGCATCACATCATTTAAAAAGCCCACATCATTTTGCATGGGAAAAATTCAAATATAAACATAAGCATTACATATTATATACACTCACTTTAGAAACCCACATCAACTCACCTCCACTGTTAGTTTTCCCCCAAATCTCTTTTCCCAGGGGTAATTGTTCCAAAGAATAGTAGTTCTTTACAGCTATCTGTATCATATATGTTGAAAATGGTTGCAATCCTTCAATCAGGGCTATATGCTCCTGAAATGCCTGTAATTGAATTTTTTTTTTAAATCGGTAACATTCTTAGCCTTTATACAAATGGTAAGAAATGATTTATTTGGGGAGGAAAATAGATCAAAAGATTGAAAAAACAATGATCACTCATTCAATCTACCCAGGCTTGAGTTTGTTTATCTATCTCCAACCAAAAATATCTCAAACGAATGGTGGTTCTTGGTCACTTTTATGTTATGACTCACTTCCTTTAGAAAGTTTGCTTAATTCCTAGGGAAAGGATTACGATTTCAATAGCATTGCATTAGAAATTTAGAAAGCTAATATTGTAAAGATGAAAAAACATAAATTAGTTTGGTAATAATTCTATAATGCTTTGCCTAATAAGTCTTAGAAATAAAGTTTAAGAATGTAAAAAGAAATGCCTTAGACCAATAGTTGTCACCTTTCTTTGTACCTAGAAACAGCTAGGCAGTTAGAAAATACTTAACTTGGGTCCAAGCCCAGAGATTCTTGTTTAATTGATCTGGAATAAAATCTGGGCCCCAGAGATTTTAAAAGTTCCAGTGAACAGCGAAGGTTGAGATTCACTGCCTTAAACAAAACCCCTATCGCCACTAAGCAATTCGTACCCATGGTGATGTTATGTGAGATTTCCTGAGGCTATAAATCTATGAAAATGAATAGTCTCAGCTTTCTCCAATAATCAAATTGAAGAAAGTAAAGTAGAGCCATTTAAATTACAGCAATGGCCAATGTCCCAAGATGGATCTTGGGCAGTGAAATGATCTGATCAGTCTCTGAAATAACTCCTCTGAAACATGCATAAAGAATGATTAATGTAGATAAGGAAAGTAACAAAAAATTACGTGTACTTTTTAGCAAAACACATCGTTCTTAAAATCCAATAGATGTCAGAAAATTGCACCTTTGGGTTGGTTAAGGTCAAGCAACATGCAAAATCATGGTTATACCATATATACTCGAGCAGAAGCCGACCCGAATATCAGCCGAGGCACCTAATTTTACCACAAAAACTGCATTAAAAATGTGCTGAAAAACTAGGCTTATGCACGAGTATATACGGGATATGATTCCATCACTAGGGCAACTGAAACACTAATGCCAATGATAAAACAAATCGGGCCAATTCATCCACTCAATCAAGAACTATTTAGGGAATGCCTGAAAGAATCCAAGAATTGAATTGTGTAAGGTGCTAGGATACTATAACCAAAAAAATAGACATCCAAAAACCAAGCACCCAAACCCATTGTTATCAAATCAATTCCAGCTCATAGCCAACCAATAGGACTGAGCAGAATAGTTTTCAATAATAGGAAATAATACACAAAAACATACTTTTTATATTTCTATACACTTTTTATATTAGATGAGTGCTATAGAGGAGACAGCATGATAATGTCATCTCTGTCCAATTCATTTTTCACCCTGGGTGGATACATCCACAAACTAGGCTCTGTCACTTTCTGTGGATAATTCAATAATGGAGGAGAGGGACTTGGGAAGCACTTAGTTTGACAATGCACCAAATGGTGTGAGTCAATATGATTTCGTTTACCTTTAATAGTTTTATTGGCATATAATTCAGATATCATTCAATTTAGGAGTTCTATCACATTAATAAGAAGAGTTGTGCAATCATCACCGCAATCAATTTCAGAATATTTTCTTCTTCCTCATACTTATTGTTGTTAGCTCCTCATTTTCCCCCAGATACCCCTGCGATGCCCCTAGGTCATTATTAATCCAGTTACTGTCTCCACACATTTACCTAGCCTGGATCCCATATACAGAAAATAATTCAAAACTAAAACGACGACGACAAATCAAGAGAAAAATCTCAACTGAAAAGCAGAAAATATTAAAAACTGAAATAACTTTGAAATGGGTCAAAAATGAGATCAAATTATAAAGTGTTACATTTTAACCTAACTACGTCAGCCATAATCAACTTTACAATGCAAGGCTTGTAGCAAGGCTTTGACACAAGGCCATTCACAACCCTAGAGAGAATTCACCAGAATCTTAATCCATGTGGGGATCCTGAAGATGGATTTTGCCTTCTGCAATCCAGGTGTTCACAATTTAAGCTCTGATACCGTTCCCTCCTTCAGATTTGGATTTTGTTATTCATAATCCTTGGTTCTCATAGGCTGGTGCTTCTTCCACATGAACTTAGTTGACACCTCACTTAGATGGCTGCTTGTTTTAATACAAGCCTTTAAGATTCCATATGCTATTCTTTCTGATGACCGGCACCGTCTGCTTTCTTTGCCACACTTGCTATAGCACCCATGTCTTCAGGGATCTCTTCATGAGGGCAAATATTGACTAGAGCCATGTCAAAAGAACTAATTGTTCTTAGATTAGGGCTACAATTTAGTATGAGCCAAAAATCCACTCACATATCTATGGTTTGTCTACGCCGCTGGCTCATTTTAGAGACATCATAATCATTTTACAAATAGAGAACATTATAAATCATTTCTATGAGGCATAAAGTAATCCTGTAGAGTGGTTCTCAAACTGTGGGTGGCGATCCCTTTGGGGGTTGAACGACCCTTTCACAGGGGTTGCCCAATTCATAACAGTAGCAAAATTACAGTAATGGAGTAGCAACGAAAATAATTTTATGGTTGTGGGGCCACCACAACATGAGGAACTGTATGAAAGGGTCGTGGCATTAGGAAGGTTGAGAACCACTGCGTACGGACACTGTTGTCAGTTCCCATTCATAGTGACCCTATGTACAACAGTGTTTTTTTTTAAAAAGCCTTCTGGTTCTAGACAATCCTCGTAATAATGCTTATGTCTGAGCCTACTTTTGCAGCCACTGTGATAATCCATCCTGTCTGGGGGCTTCCTCTTTTCACTGCGCCTCTGCTTTTTCCAGCATGATGTCCTCCTCCAAGGAGTGGGCTCTCCTGATAACATGTCCAAAGTGAGACAAAGTCTTCCTATCCTTGCCCCTAAGCAGCATTCTGGTTGTGCTTCTTCTTCCAAGACAGATTTGTTTGTTCTTTTGGCAGTCCATGGTACTTTCAATGTTCTTTGCCAATGCTAGCTCAAATACATTTTTTTTGGGTTAGTCTTCCTTATTAAATGTCCAACTTTCATATGTATATGAAGCGATTAAAAATACTATGGCTTGAGTGAGAAGCACCTTCGTCCTCAAAGTAACATGCTAGCTTTTCAACAGTTTAAGAGGTCTTGTACAGCTGATTTGCTGCTGAAAATGCTTCCTTTGAACTCTTGACTGCTGCTATGAGCAATGATTGTTGATCAAGCAAGATGAAATCCTTAACAGCTCCAATCTTGTCTCCATTTATCATGACGTTACCTACTGGTCCAGTTGTGAGGATTTGGGTTTTCTTTTCACTGAGTTGTGATCCACACTGAGGGCTGTAATCCTTGATCAGCAAGTGCTTCAAGTGCTCAGTTTCAACAAGCAGGGCGTGCCAGCTGCATATTTCAGGGGGTTAATAAGCCTTCCTCCAGGCCCGATGCCGCATTCTTCAGCATGTAATCCAGTTTGTCTACTAATTTGCTCAGTATACTGATTGCATACATATAGCAAAAAGCTACAACCCGGATGCACATCCTTCACAATTTTAAAACATGGGGTTTGCCTTTGTTCTTTTCCCACAACTACCTCTTGCTCCATGCCCGGGCTCTGCACGAACATAAGGAGTGTGCAGGAATTCCCATTCTTCTCAAGACAATTTGAATGTTGATTGGTTTTCTTTTGGGACAGTAATATCTTCTTTGGATGCTTCCTGCATCATTCAGTATGTGCCCATGGAATCTTTCAAAATTGTAACACGAGGCTTGAATATTTTCTTCAATTCTTTCCATTTAAAATATGCTGAGCTTGTTTTTCCTTTTTGGATTTTTAAACTAGGTTTTTGCACATTTTATTATAATTTTTGACTGTCTTCTCAAGCTGTCCACTGAAAGTTAATGTTCAGCTCGTTGACTTCATTTCTTTTATTTGCCTTAATATTCTATGGTCAAGAGTAAGTTTCAGAGTTTCTTCTGTTGTTCACTTTTATCTTTTCTTTCTTTCATATCTTTTTAATGAACTTTTGCTTTCTTCATGTATGATGTTTTTGAAGTCATCCCAGAACTCATCATGTCTCCTTGTCATTACTGTTTAATGCATACAACCTGTTCTTGAAATGTTCTCCAAATTCGTGTGGGAAATACTCAAGGTCGTATTTTGGCTCTTGTGGAGTTATTTTCATTTTCTTCAGTTTTAACCTGAATTTACAAATGAGCAATTGAAGGTCTGTTCCCCTGCTGATATTGAGTTCCCCATTGTCTCTTCCCACAGATGTAATTAATGTGATTTGCAGATATTGCACCTGGAGGTCTCCATATATTATAATCACCTTTTGTGGTCTTGAAAGAAGGTATCTACTATCGACAAGTTGTTAGTCTTGCAAAACTCTATGATGTGATCTCCAGCTTCGTTTCTCTCACCAAGACTATTTTCTAACTACTTTCCCTCCCTCCTTGTTTCTAACGTTTGCATTCCAATGACCACTGATTATCATTGAATCTTGATTGTATGTTTGATCAATTTCTGACTGAAGTCATTTGTAGAATTCTTCAGTTTCTGTATCACCAGCTTTAGTGCTGGGTGCAGAAATTTGAATGATAGTTGTACTGACTGGTAGACATTGTCCTGTCATAGACGGCATTGTACTTCAATATAGACGTTGAAATGTCCTGTTTGACAATGAATGCAATGCCATGCCTTTGATTGGGTCATTTCTGGCATAGTTAGTTAATCATACAATTTTATGATCCAAAATGGTAACTATCAGTCCATTTCATCCCACCAAAGCACAGAATATTGTTTTTTTTATTCATTGCAATTGATTTTTAATGACTTCCAAATTTCCTAAATTCATACTTCCTACATTCCAAGTTCTGATTATTAGTTAATGTTTGCAGCAGTTTCTTCTCATTTTGAGTCATGCACTATCAGTAAAAGAAGGTCCTGAAGGCTTTAAGCCCACAACCTTTACTCTATCAGTGTCATTACGATCAACTCTACTTTGAGAAGGCGACTCTTCTCAGTCCTCTTCTGATTGCCTTCTTAACTGAAGGGGCTCATCTTCTGGCACCATCTGACAATGTTCTGCTTCAGTTCATTAGGTTTTACTAACTTCCAATGTTTCTAGGGTATCCGTAGCGTGTTCAGAGGCCAATTCCTCTGTTCTCAGTCCAGTAGCTGTGCTCAAACCTGTTCCCTTTGGGTGACCCTGCTGGTATTTCACATACCAGTGGCATAGCCTTCAGCGTCACAGCAACACACAAGCCAAGACCGTATGGCAAGCTGATAGACCAATGGTGGATTCTGTTGATGGCATCATTAATTTAGCCAATGGTATAGAATGCAGACACTGTTGAGAGAAAGAAGTGGTACATGTATGGTCCAGCTTCTCAGGCCACAATATATGAATTGTTGACATGGACAGGTGAAAAGATTAAGTGAGTGGACACTATATACATGAACAATGAGGGTTGGGATATGGCAAATCTTTCACTAACCTGCATTCACAAAACCAGAGCCCTGCTTGCCAGATGAACACAAGCCATAACAAAGCAAAGAGAACGTTAAAACAGTAAATGTGTGATAGTGCCAGGCCGCCACTCACTGGGTTCCCTCAAAGCAAGAGATAGACTTTCTTAAAACTCAACTTGCTCCACGACAAAAAGGCCGGATCATATTGCAGTCCCATAAATCATTTATCGTTAAAATATTGTGGAATAGTGGCATTTTAAGTACATAATATTTTGCTGTGACTAAGAAATCTTTTTTTTCTGGAAAAAAGGCATCTTGCAAAAGACAAAAAACCACTAGTTCCAATCTTACCAGCATCCTGTCTTTCTGGTTGGAGCTGTTTTTCCCATCACTAGCTTCTCTGTAACATACTAGGTACGTTGGGGTAGGGCTGGTCATGCCATACCATGTGAGGTTTGTTTCAGCAGCTGGTAGTCTGATTGTGAGGCTGGTGTTGGTGATGTTAACGATAGCCGGTTCCTCAATGAAGGTAGCTAGAGTCAGAAATGCTTTATCTACAATAACAAGAAAACAGAGGCTAAATATGTACATACAGATGTATCAGATACGAAGAGCAAATGTATTTAACATCACAGAAAAGATCCAATGTTCAAAAGCATTTGATTGAATATCTGCTAAGGTGCTGATAAGAACAAGTACAAACACTCGGGAAAGGCAGTTCATTTTCACGACACTGGCAGACTCTGCGTGCCCTTCTGCGTCTTCCTGGTTATTGTCCCAGACGTCTTACATTAGTCAGGGCTGCATGACCGGGGGGGAAAATCAGTTTCCCTGACAGCCTGGCTGGTCCTTAGGGCACAGTTCTAACCGATCAGATGTAAGGTTGGTATCTACCAGGGAGGATTTGCAGTACGTTTAATTAGTGAATAGGGCACATGTCCTTCACTCTTTCCCTGCCCAGAAAGTCGACATAGTGTGTAGAGACACAGCAGACATCTTCTGGGAATGGAATCAAAGATACATGTTAACAGCAAGTGGAAGAAAACAGAAGTCCAGATTACTAATGGCACTCGAGAGCTGCCTGTCCTACATATACAGACAACCAGTACACTGCACAGCCTCACGGGGGCAGCATTCTCAGCACCTACAGTGTGAAAGGTACAAGTTGGCTTGGGACAGTGCACAGTAGACTCTGCTTACACCTCTACACTCATGTTTGTAATATGCCGCTGAAGGGTATGTCTAGCCTATTCGCTCTGATTGTTACACAAAATTGACTTAAGAACATAATGCCCCCACCTAATTCACAACAAAAAGTCCATCAAAAAAGAAGGATCATTTTACTAAAGTTACCAAGCAGGCCATATTTCACCTGAGCCAGTAAGTAACTATCCAATAATAATCAGTTAGTACTTGGTCTAAACTGGTGGGAATGGTGTAGCAGCCAGAAAATTATCTGATTCAAATATCAATGCCAATTTTGTCATTTCCTTCTCATGTTTTAAGTGGGGTAGTTTATCTAGGTGGTGAAAACATTATTTAGGACAATAAGACTTTTTGAAGATGATAATGCCTCAGGAAAATGAGGGAAAGAACTAGCAATTTCTTAAAATTTCCAGTAGATGGAGCTCAAAGTACTCTTAATGATGAGCCTAGCCTTAACAAAAGGAAGCTGGACCTTTATTTGAAGAAAACAATGAGCATACTTTACAATCAGTTCTTGTTAATAAAAATTCATGCTCTCTTTAGAACTTTTATTTCTAGAAGTGTATATATGGTGTTGCTCAACTTCAAATAGGTACTGCCTACACTTCAATTTTCTAAATAGTCTTTCAATGTGTTATTTTACAAAAACATGCACTAAGCTTCTGGATGCATTCTTCCACTTGTTTTTTATTTATATGTTTTATAACAGAATATATTTAAGCCAAGGGAATTCATTTCATTCATTGGTGTCCATCTCCAAGCAGAGGTACACTTAGTTAAGAAGGACAGCAGCTCCTGAGTGGCCAAGAAAGCTTGGGAAAGAACTCAGAAACCCCTGGACATTTGAAGCCACCAAGGAGGTTTTACAATATTTCTTGTATTTTTGTTTCTTTTTAAAATTTCAAACTTAAAAAAAAATTCCACAAGGCTTTTGAGGAACATGGGTAATGGTCACAATTTAAAATCTCATTAATGACAGATCTGAAAATACGATAAAGATGCTAATGAAAAGAATAGTGCACATTTAGACATTCTAAGTGGTTAAGAAATACATGGTGTGTGAGACCACAATGACAGAATATGAAGAAAAGGTTTTCACACTGAAAGAAATATTCCTTAATGGTTCCCAGGAGGGGGCAGGGAAGGGAGGGTGGCGAGTCGCGGGCTAGAGGACACACCAGTGTCCACTCGGGTGATGGAGAAGGCAGTGTGACATATGAAGGAAGTTAGGGGGGAATGATGTGGGTAGGAAAGACACTGGGAGATGTGGAAGAGTTCAAAGCAACAGCCGCGAGTCTTGTTATACACAGATCCTGTAACTGTGGGGATCTCCACCATATATGCTTGAACAGGTATGTTGGCTAAAACGGTGAGAGAGGGAGATGGAGAGGGAGGATATATCCATGAATATGTATAGGTTTGACAGCAGGTCTTTGTATAGGAATATTTACCGTGGCTTCCAATAAAGCCATGAATGTGATGGAGCAAACAGGAGACAAAGTTCTAAAGATATCTTAGAAACAACCAAAAGCTTTGAAGGAATGAGTAGTTGGCCTGGGGTCTCAGGCCCATAACTTTAGGGACACCAAGTCAATGGACAAATATAATTCACAAGCACATCTTACTTTGGTGAATAGTCACTGGGGTTTACAGGGCTGTAAGCAGCCCTCTGCAATGCTAATATTGGTCTGTCCCTATTTAGAGGAGAAGAGATCTAAGAATTCAAAGACAGGTGGAATCAATTAGTCCAACAGACCCATGGGCCACCCAGCCATCAGTCTCCACAATGCTGAGACCTGAAAACCTGGAGGCTGCCTGACTACCGCTGCAGACTGTTCTGAAAAGGATCACGTCAGCAGGTCCTAGGGCAGTGGTTCTCAACCTTCTTAATGCCACCACTCTCTAATACAGTTCCTCATGGGGTGGTGACGCCCAACCATTAATTATTTTTGTTGCTACTTCATAACTGTAATTTTGCTACTGTCATGAATTGTCATGTAAATATCTGATATGCAGGATGTATTTTCACTGCTACAAATTGAACATAAAGCATCGTGATTAGTCACAAAACAATATGTAACTATATATTGTGAAATGTATTTCTAATGACAAATCAGTGACATTTTGTTTTGAAGTATGGTGTAGCATGGGTAATAGTCTTCATGCCGGGTACTCATCTGTGGGCGTATCTGCATGTGGGCCAACCCACCTGGAGACGGATAGAGGAGCGGTGCCTCAGTTCCTAAGACCATCGGAAATGTGTTTTCCGATGGTCTTAGGCGACCCCGGTGAAAAGGTCGTTCAACCCCCCAAAGGGGTTGCATCCCACAGGTCGAGAACTGCTGTCCTATGCAGCGTGGAAGAAAACTATGGAGCAGAACTCAAAATCATAGACGACACCAGTCTAGTGAGACCCCTCCAGGCTCTGACCCTCAGCCATCCGTCAGGTCTGAAACATAACACCCCATGCTCAAACAATCAGCCCTTTAAGACCCACAGATCAGCCTACCACGGACAGAGGGTTAAGAAAGAAGGAGGAACGGATACGGGCAGCACTGGGGGAAAGCGGCTCAGTTGATGAAGCAAAGCGGTATAAATTGTTCAATGTGAACTGATGCCCTGCGCTGTAAACCTTCCTCTACATCACAATGAAACACTTTCTTAACCAAACAAATACGTAATAATTAAATAGAAATGGGACTTGACCTTGAAAAAGAGCAGAAGTTTCATGCACTGCTTTTTGGTACCACCAGGAGGCCTAAAGTCTAACAAAGAAGAATCAGCAAGAAAACGAAATGATCAGGCAGAGAAGAGAAAGAGGATGGACGATAATAGAACGTGGGGTTTGCCCCAATGGCGAAGCCAGGCGCGCGCGTGCGCGCGCGCGCGCGCACACACACACACACACACACACACACACACACACACACACACTGGTATACACATAGAACTGGGGTTAATTTGTGACCCAGGGTAGCCTGCAGTTACAGCGAGCACTCAGGGCTGACAAGAGTTTGGAGCCAGGCTGAGCGATCACGGAGGCAGAGAGGATCAAAAGGAGGAGACAGGCACCTGGAAAGACTGTCCTTACCCTTCAGGGAAGGAGCATGCTGATCATGAATGTGGCCGTGTTACCTGGGAAAGGCTGCACAGCTGCACTGTACGCCAAGACATGCTGACTCGCTGGGGCTGTCACCTGGAAGGGCGTGGCTCCACTGCTTTTCTTGGCCTGATAAATCTGCCTGCTGTCCTTGGTTGTGACAATCCAATAGATAAATTCCCCATCCACGGTTAAGCTAACAAGAGTTTGTCCTGTGGATCAAAAATATATGGTAAAATCAATGACAAAATGCATAGTTTAAGCTCTCTACCCTAAATAAAACATGACATCTCTTTTTTATTATAACGTTAAGCATCTGAATCCATATTTTTTCAGTATGGAAAACTGATACTTATATATCACTAGGCGAAGAACGTCACAGCCTTTTCTTTTCATTTTAACCCCATATCAAACCACTACAGTAGATATTGTTATTCATATCCTTTGTGTAAAAGGGACATCCAAGGCTTGGATTTGCTATCTGATCTATGAAAGATGGCAAAGTTGGCAGAGAATGGTACCACTTACAATGGGCCCTGACAGTTCTCTATCCATAGTGGTGTACATATATAATATCTACCATGTGGAAGGTGGGTCACTTATTCTTCATCAATAACTAGAATTGGGTGACTCTGAGTCCAAACAGAACCCACAGCATCTAACAAGAGCAACTACTAAAATCAATGCATGAGAGGAACAGAGAAGAGACTTTAATGGAATATAAGGGGAAACAATGTAATAATGTAACAGACTTCCTTATAGAGTAGTGAATCTTGTAGGAAGCAAGGCATTATTTTTGTAGAGATTTCTTCTAACATTATATTAGCTAAAGGATCTCTAAAGTCACCCAGATTTTCCAATTTTAGAGTATACATTCTAATGTTCCATTAATTAAAAACTGGCTAGTTCTATAAATAATGGCCCACTAGATAATTCTTTTGTATCTCATTCAACAAAAGCATTCTTCCTAGTAAGAGAAGTTCAAAACACCATCTCTGCTCTTCAGTACATAGAGAGTATATCACAGCTGTTTATGAAAGGTCTGGGCGAAATATCAACAAAAGCATATTGGCAATGATAGGTATACATTGTATGAGTATTTTTGCAATGTCAAAATATTCATATGTAGACCAATTCTGTCCAATAGACCTTTATATGATGATGAAAATATTTCATATCTGTATGGGTTAACGGTAGCCACGTGAAAAGCATTGGACTATTAACGGCAAGGTCACCAATTCAAACCCAGTTTTTGCAAGAAAGAAAGGTGAGACCATCTAGTCCCATAAAGATGAACAATCTCAGAAACCTTATGAGCCCTTCTACTCTGTCCGACAGGGCCATTATTGGTAGGAATCAACTTGATGACAGTGGGTTTAGTCGCTTGTGGCTTCTGAACAATATGTCTAGTGTCAATGAGAAACTAGATTTTTAATTTCAACTTAAAGGGTCATATGTGGCTAGTGGTTACCATATCGGACTGTGGAGAGTGAGTTATTAAGAGCATGCGGGGCAGTGAGAGGATTTTGGTTTTGTAGGGCTATGGGGTCCTATTGCAATTATTCCTAAGCAGGAGACTTCCAAGCCACTTTGAACTTCCAGATGTTTCTCCATAAGCACATACACTTCAGTAGATAGCTTTGCCAAGTATTAACCAACTCATGCTGAGGTTGAGTCAGTGGGATCATCAAAGCAGAAGGAGAATAGCTTACTGGTAGAATCATAGACCTGGTAGTTAGGCTTGCTTTTAAATCTCACACCTCTACTAATTCACTGTGGCCTTTGTATAAATTAGCTTACCTGTCTCTTTTGTAGTTTCCTCATCTGTCAAATGAGGATATTAGTTCCTATGTCATCAGGATGTTAAGAAGATTAGATGAGATAATGCACTTAGTAGTAGATTAGACTGAATAAGGCTTTATAAACCATACCTCTATCATTAGTTATATTTTTAAAGCAGATATAGGAAATGATGTGAATAACTACAGATAATTTGCCTCTAAACAACTTGATTTGAATTTTAAAAGAACACTTTGTATTTTCCAGAGAAAATAGGAAGGTAAGTCAAAAAGTATTGATACTACTGGGATTCCAGTCCATATATGAATGGTTTTATGTCTAAGGAAACATGTTCAAGCATGTCAATGAGATGCAGACAAGTTCTTTCCATAATACACTTGTATTCATCTCATTGGAGTTCCACCGAGGAAGGTCCAAGGACACAATGACTTCCTGGGGACCAGTTCAATTTGAGGCAAAGAGGTCAGCTCAGAAGGTTGTGGTGACTGTACTTTGGGCTGCAAAGAGCTATCTTTATAGATTTTCTCAAAGGACAGAGGTTGATCATAGAGGCTTGTTAGGAGAAGGTTTTAAGAAAATGGAAAACTGCATTGATGAGGAAAAGGCGAGGTAAGTTGTGCCCAGGAATTGTTTTCCCAGCATAGCAATGTACCTACTCATGGTTAGAGGAGAACAAGGACTGTCTGAGAATTCCACTGGGAACTCTCACCATGTGCACCCTCAGCTCAGTCTAGTCTCTCTAGAGTTTCTTTTGCTTCCCAAACTCAGAGAACGTTGAAAAAGAGCACAGTGGAGTCGCTGCAGGCTGCCAGAGCCACTGTTTTAACATGGTATAAACTGAAGATCACAGAATTCTTTGAAGAAGGGTGAGAGGGATGGAAACAGTGCTTTCAGAAGGATCTAATCCTAGAGGAGGACATGTTAAGAAAAGTAGCTTCACATTTTGATGTTTTTATGGAATAAATGTTTCTATGATGTTGCAGCAATACTCGATTTCTCCCTATACCATTCAGATACTCTTTTACATATGGGTGGAATACACATCCTTTTAATTTTTTTAATTTGTTTTTTTAAATTATCTTACTGGGGGCTCATACAACTCATCACAATCCATACAGACATCAATTGTGTCAAGCATGCAAGCATTTTTCATTGGCCAAGTGTTTCCACCACAGTTTGTGAAGATCTATGTTTACACACCAGCGCCTTACCCAGCATAGCAGGCACCGGGATCACGCTCCAACACTCACAGCCTTCCAGATCCATCACCCAGATTTCTTGTCCTTTGACAAAGTATATGTATGGTTGTTTTAGGTCAGAGTTATCAATAGCCATGACTCCATTGAACTCAAATTCGGTCACATTGCAGGAACAGTGGTTTCCTCCATTCTGATGGCTTGTGGCTGAGGACAGCAGTACGTGGTGCAAGGTGTGGTTGATAATGTTGTAGTAGAATATCTGACAGCCTAAACTGGCAACTTCTGTCCAGTACAAACGACTATAGGGAGAAAAAAAACTTAGTGTGGAAAACAGATCATTGGAAATATTAGTTTCTAAAGAAGATTACTGGGGTCTCTAAGTGGCATAGATGTTTAAGCATGCAACTGTTAGGTTGGCCATTTGAACTCATTCCTTGGAAGGTGGACCTGGCAAACTGCTTCCAAAGGATCATGGCCTTGAAATCATATGGGACAGGTTAGCTCTACACAACTACACATGCTAGGTCAACGTGAATTGGAGCAGATGAAAGAGCAATTAACAACAATAAAGATCAACCATGGGATCATTTCTAATGATTCGAGGAATAAATAAAAAACCTTTGGAGGAAACAAATTCAAGTATCCACTAACCCTTATTCTAAAGTGCAGGAGGTCCTAAGAAATGTAATTCATGGTGTTTTTCAATAATTTTTCAACAATAGATTTAGTTTGCAATTAAATAGGGTACGACTGTGACCTTAGCAAAACCAAACTCACTGCCATTGAATCAAGGTGAACTCATAGCCGCTCTATAGGACAGGGTAGAACTAGCTAGCCTGCGAGTGCCCGAGACTGTAACTGTTTATGGAGTAAACTTCCTCATCTTTGTCCTGAGGAGCAGCTCGGTGGTTTGAAATAGCAGCCCAATTCATGACCACTATGCCACAGGGCTCCTCCCTAGGCACTGACTTAAATAGTTCATTAATGGCTGTAAATATAGTCTATTTGCATACTTTCTTTTTTTTATTGAGCTATAGTTGACATACCATACAATTCAATAGTTTCATCACATAAACAAGAATTGTACAATCATGAAAAAAAATTTTAATGTTCAAGTCATCCAAATGCATGTCACTGACTCCAAATTGTCTTGAAGTATGATTTGTATTAGGGATACAAAACTCCCCCATCCCATGGAACATTATGTTGACACCCAAGACAGTCAAATCTTCACACATCGCACTATTTTCTGGTTGTACCAAAAAAAGGTAAATGATTTTGCATCTTAAATTTTTATTAAAAAGCATTTTCACTTTTGAAAAATGGGATGAAGTGGGATCTCCCTCCTTCTTAAAAATGTTTCTACAGAGGGAATCCAGGACGGATAGATCCCTCTGGACTAATGATGAGAGTGGCGATGCTGCGAGGGTAAGGGGTGGGTGGGGTAGAGGGGAGGAACTGATCATAAGGATCTGCATATAACCCCCTCCCTTGGGAACAGACAGCAGAAAGGTGGGTGAAGAGAGATGTCGGACAGTGTAAGACATGGCAAAATAATAATAATTCATAAATTATCAAGGGTTCATGAGGGAAGGAGGGCAGGGAGGGGAGGGGGAAATGAGGAGCTGATACCAAGGGCTCAAGTAGAAAGCAAATGTTTTGAGAATGATGAAGGCAACAAATGTACAAATGTGCTTGACCCAATGGATGGATGTATGGATTGCGATGAGTTGTACAGCCCCCAATAAATGATTTTTTAAAACTTTTCTAGAACTACTTAAAAACTTGCATTTTTAAAATACTTGATAAAAATATTCTTCTGGATTGTACAAGAAGATAACAGGGTCCACTGATAAGACATTAAGAAGGCATGGCATCATTTTCTCCTGCTTCATCAGAGGCTGGACTCTCCTCAATTTTCATTTCTCTGTTTTCTGCAGGTTTTGCTTGTACTTTTTTGTTAGAAGATTTAACCTTTCCTGTGGCCTCTCATGGCTTCGTCTCTGCCTTTGCAGGCATATGTTTCACTGACAACCTTGACAATCTCTTCTTGGGCTCTTCTTCACTGCCACCTTCAGCGAAGCTGATGTACCTTTGGGGCAACTTGGCTGTGGGGCAGGCGCATGCTGGATGCCAGCAGACTATGGGCCACCAGAGCTTTCTTGAAACTGGGTTGTCTTACCACTGCTGCTCTGCCCACTGCCTGGGCTGCTAGGACCGGGGCAGAGCAGTGGGAGAACCGGATGGACTCATCAGATTTCTTCACCACAGCCATACCTTCAATGATCTCCTCATGAGGGCGAGTACCAGGCTGGGTCATGTCATAAGAACTAATTGTCATTATATTAGGTCTACAATCAAGTGAGAGCTCAAACTCCACCCATATCATTATTGTTTCTATGAGTCCCTGGTTCCCTTTTGGAGACTTAACTGCCAGTGTATTGTGGAACTTCACAGATCTTCCCCATGGGAGTTTCGGCAACTCCACTGCTAGTAACATTATTTTAGTCAATGGTAAAGTACTATTGAGCAAAGACTTTTATACATATGTGGGACTTCTATTAGACTCTTGAGGTAGTTTATTGTGCCAACCTGGCCGATAAACACATGTGGGATTAATGAAGGGTGGAGGGATAAATGGCTCTATGAGCCTCGCCTTTCAAGTTCTCGGGCCTCTTGCTTTGTGATGGTCGGGCCAGGGTGCAGCTGCCTTAGCCAGTTCCTGCTTCAACTGGGAAGGCTCACTTCCTGAAAGACATTCCTAAAGAGAAGCCACGTGGCCCTACCCCAGGGCAGCCCTGGGTGCTGGAGCAGCCATGTGGAGACTCCTGCCAGCGCTGAGATGCTTACACATTCACTGACTCGGCTTTCCTCCTGCATTCAGCATCATTGTATCTGTTTTGTGAGATGGAGGAGGACTTTGTGGATTGATGTTGGACATATAGGTTAATGGGTTAATGTTGGACTTGAGGCCTTGGGCAGCACTGGGTTGGGATGTTTTCTTGATGCACACTTAATCTTTACATAAAACTCTCTCTTATACAATGAGTTGCTGTATAAGAATTTGTTTGTTTCTCTAAAGTACCCAGACTAACACTACTCCCATACAGGAATTGTTAATTTGCATATCTTCAAAATGCGACTGGCACATGCCATTAGGGTTGGAGATGTGGTGATACTTTTAGTAACACTCATCCGTGAGAGCAGAACCAGGGCTGGTAGACTAAGACATGTCACATAATGACAAAGGGAGGGTGAAAGCAGCCAACAGACGCTAGCCCCAGGTCACCATTCATTGGACACCTTCAGAACAATAGGTTTGAACCCAAAGCCAGTCACCATTTCTATCCTCCAGTTTGTTTCTACTTCTTAAAGCTAGTTGACAATCTGGTGTCAAAATAGCCTAATAACCATGCTTATATCACAAATGGGATATATCTTTCCAGTTTGGAAAATTGCTACTTACTGACTGAATGGAAGACCTAAAAGGCACAAGGACATTAATCCAGATAAAATGGATGAGACAGAGATTGTTCTTCCTGATGCTGCCACAGTATCCATCCCCTTTGTGTCTTTTCTACTAGCTAACATTTAATGAACGCCTCGCAAATGATGGTAGTATTAGATCAGTTTACATAAAAATGTTATTGGGTTACTAGCTAGACTAGATAGTAATTTGCCTAACTGCATTAATCATATTGAGAGTATAAATTAAATGTAAACATTTGTGGCTGTGACTCAAAAACTTCAATATGCCAAGAACGCCCAAACATCTTATTTTCCCATCATTGCCTTCTAATATTACCGTATATACTTGAATATAAGCCAACCCGACTATCAGCCAAGGCACCTAATTTTACCACAAAAACTGCATTTAAAATGTGTTGAAAAACTTGGCTTATAAGCGAATATATATGGTAAGTCAAAGGCATTACATTTAATATGTCTGTATTTCATTCCAATAGAAAGAAAAACTCACACTCCACATACCTTAAGAAAGGGTAGACAGAAAAAGAGATGATTGTTGAATTCCTGTTGCAAATCTTCAGAACTCTGGGGTACTTCACCTTGTATTCAAGATCTATATCAAATATTTGCGTTCTGTTTTGTGAATCTTTTGTTGCAAAGTAGAGGTGCTTTGCAATCCAGTCAACTGTCATAACTGTGATATCAAAACCCAGTGCATCTCGGAAAATCTTAACAGTAGGTGGAGAATAACCAAGAAGATAGTGTCATTGGTTCGGCTTCTTCTTAATTTGAAGACATGTCTGCGTTCACCTACATCATTGCATTTCTGTGTCATCTAAACTTCAGTATTTCTGGGTTGTCTATTATTGTGATCAATACTGCTCATTGATCCTTTTCACACATAATATTTTCAGTTTCAACCATAGCTTCAATGCTTCAAATTTACTTCTTCAGGCAAAAGCCATCCTTGAGTTACGAACTCAACCACAGAAGTAGCTATTGGATATCTCCATAAGCATGACTTCGCCCCTAACTTCCTTTTCTCTGCCTTGTATGGTTTCCTGAACTCTCAACATTCACCCTAAGAGCCAATCCTGACAAATGTGATTTGCTCTTGACTTCTGTCTCCTGCTGTTAACCATAGTGGTTCAGCTCCATTTAAAATATCTCCCCAGTTTGTTCAGTCCTTTCACCCCTCATTGTCTCTCGTCTAGGTCAGGCCCGCAATGTTTCCTGACCTTATTTATGCGACAGCTGTTCGTCTCGTACTGAACTGTCTCTATTCTGAGGCATTCTCCCACCATTAACAGAGAAGGCTTGCTGAAATACCACTCGATCACACTAATGACATCCTTTCTTCAATGACTTGCTGTTGGCTTCAAGCTAGAAGCCTGATTCCACAGCACAGCGAAAGGCCATTACATTCATTCTCCTGCTTACCTGGGCACTTTGCCATCTGCCTTTTACTCCATTCCCACCAGCTCCTCTAGTACAACCCCCCCTATTTGCCGCACTCTGAACGTATGAGGGCAGTCAAAAGGTACTGCTACACGCACTCGTTAAACCCTTTTATTAAATGAAAATACCAAAATGTGAAGCTATCGTTCCCTGGCCTGTCCGCCATCTAGCTCTATTCCTCTCTAAAGGACGTGTTTCCTTCTCTTCGAACATGTGCTCTTCAAGGGACATCAAGTCAAGATGGCCATCCTGGCGTCCCTGAAGGACTCCGCTGGCTCCCTTTCAACAGACTTGGAATTTTGAGCAACAAAAAGAAGTCTGAAGGGGCAATATCAGGATGGGTGGGGTAAGATTTCCCAATTAGATTCTTGTAAAACAGCCTTTGATACATTCTAAGCATGTGCAGCTGCGTTGTGGAAATTGGGGGGGGGGGGTTAATTGGGGGGGCAGGTCTTCGGTGCAACTTTCCTGACCTATTTCTCACCAATTTGGTTTTTCATTTTCATGAAACAACTTCACAACATGCCCCCATCATTGCCCTGTTTCCTTCAAGAACATCTATCAAGATGACCCCTTTAGAATCCCAGAGAACACTTGCTATAACTTTCTGAGCTGACTCTCTGCTTTGAATTGAACTGCCCGTGCAGATCCCATTGGAAGCCACTCTTTTGAATTGACCTGTTTTTCTTAATGCACCATAACAAGACTAAGTTAAGGGTACTACTGAGAGAACTTATCTGCAGCCATCCACTGATTGCAGAAACATGTTTCCAAATGCGTTATTTGGGATAAGCCCGAGCATGCACACCGGAACCCTTGGAGCCACACGTTGGGTTTTAGCTGTGTCCTATAATCCCATTCTCCCTTTGCTCTTGTACATGCCATTCCCTATGATCTTCCCCACCTTCACCTGGGTCATCCCAAGGCCTCTTTCCAGTCTACCACTCTCACCACCCCAAGCTGAACTAGGTGTCCTCTCATTCTCTGTAATTCCACTGCATTCGGTCCCCCACCTCACCCCCAAAAAAACAGTTATACTAGTTCATGTTCTCTAGTCTTAGCTCCGGCATGTGGGCTAACTGGCTTGCATGGATTCTTATTTAATCCTTACTATTTGTCACAGAAGTGAAATAACTTGCCACTGGCCACAAATCTAGCAAATAATGAAATGAGAATCAGATTCTAGGTTGCTGTATTCCAAACTCAGACTCTTAATCAACATGCATTAACTGTCTTCCCAGTATTAGAATGACGTAAGACTAGGGCTTGCTGATTTTTTCCGTGCATTCCAGGATCTAGCACAGTACTAAACTCAATAACTGGTTGATAAATTACTCATAAATGACATTTGCTTAAAATTTATTTTATATTTGTTTGTTGCTAAATTATAAATCTGCACTTTTCAGTCATTCTAATCTGCATGGTTTAAACCAGTGGTCCTCAACCTTCCTAATGCCGTGACCCTTTAATATAGTTCCTCATGATGTGGTGACCCCCCAACCATAACATTATTTTTGTTGCTACTTCATAACTACAATTTTGCTACTGTTGTGAATCAGGCAACCCCTGTGAAAGGGTTGTTTGACCCCCAAAGGGGTCACGACCCACATGTTGAGAACCGCTGGTTTAAACATTGACAAGTCTTTTAAATTATAGAATATTGTGATATGCAAATGTTCTACTTCTTTTGTTTCAAAAGAATCATATGGTGAAATACCTCAACTCTGGAGAGATTGTTCATGTTCAAAAGGAAGAGAGAATCTCGTTGGGCATAATATCCAATCTTATTATCAGCTGTGTAGCCCATAGCTCTGATGTCTTTCTCTGAAGAAAATGTCCACACAACTTGATTTAGATCCATATCTAAAAAATGTATCTTGTTGCCAAAAAGAGTTATGAGGTATGTAAAAGGATTGATTGCTGAAAACAAAAACAAGCAAACAACATATAAGAGAAAAGTAAATGTGGTTTATCAAAGTATCTTGATTCAATGTCAGACAGCTTTGAAACCCATGGGTTCCCTTAGGTCAATCTTAGTATACTAATTTCAGTCAAGAAAATGGTTTGAGTTTATAGGCTTTCTAAATCTAGTTTTGTTTCAGCCTGTTTGGGTGATAATTAAAATGCATTAACTATTGTATCTGACCTTAACTTCAGCACCCATATCCCTAAGGATATCAGCAGGCTAAAGTGTTTAAAAATTTTAAAATACGATGCATTATTTGTACACATTTTGGGGAATAAATACCTGATATCTGTGACTTTACTGTGTCAGAAAATGGTCCTGGCCCTTTGGATGTGAAGACTCGAACCTGAAGAGATAAAAAGAATGTCTCTAATTTATATCACTTGTTACACCCCCTGTGTGTCCTTCTCAACACCTCATCCTTCGGTAAATGCTGCCTGTTGAACTTAAGTGGCTGGTGATTCTAAGGTGTGTACTTCTCTAGTGTGAGTACTCCCATTATAGACCTGTCTATTGTGTGGCATAGGGAGCCCTGGTTGCATAATGGTTACATGTTGGGCCATTAACCACGACATTAGCAGTTCGAAACCACCAGCCACTCTGCAGGAGAAAGATGAGGATTTCTATTCCCATAAACAGTCTCAGGAACCCACAGGGGCAGTTCTACCTAACTGATTTGGTCCCTAAGAGTCAGAGTCTGCTCAGTGATGAATTTTATTGTTTGACTAGAAATTGAGCCACAGGACTGAGTTCAGTTCCAGACCTAGAGCATGAGTACTGACATCTTTGGGGTTCCACCAGTCTTTGTCTAACCAATAACTATTGGACTGAACTATTGTTGAGTTTTGTTCCACTTTTTCCCCACCTCTATCAAAAACCTTCTAATGTGATCTCTTTCAGATCAGTTGGAACTGGTAACCGGGCTACCACTATAATTCTTTTAGCCTCAGGTTGTGGAGACTGATGTTTGCATGGTCCATTAGTCCATTTGACTAGTTGCTTGTACATATTTTCTATTTTCTTGACTTTTCTTTGCTCCAGATGCCAAGAGGGCAATTGTTGTACTCAAGATGGCTGATCACAAACTTTCAAGATCCTGGTCACTATGTACCAAAGAGAATGTAGAGCATGGTCTTTGTGAACTATGCTATGCCAATTGTCCTTGGCATCCGTGGCACTATCACCCTGAGCCCCCAGGCCCAGTGACTCAGCCCTTCAAAGTTTTTGGTTCATAACTTTGCCTTCTGTACGTTCCACCACAGTCATGAATATATCTAAGCAAAAGTAAATAAATACACAAATATTCTCCATCAAAGTTATTTCTATTTGTGAACATACTCTCATAAAAGTCATACCATGTATTATCTATGTTTGTCCCTACATTTTCATTGTAGAGTTTTGAAGTTTCCAGTTTTCATGATTCAACTTGAGTTCATTTTTATGTATGATGTGGGATATGGCTCCTGTTACATTCTTCTGAAAATGGATATACATTTTTCCAGCACTATTTACTAGACTACCTCTTTCCCTTTGAATACATTTTGGCCCTTTTCAATGATCAACTGTCTGTAAATAGATTTACTACTAGATTTTCGAGCCTGTTTAATGTGCTTGACACTCCTGCACTCCCTGATTTGGACCGCCATGGCAATGTTTGGTTCTGGGCAGTGAGGAGCCTCCTACTTTACTCTTCTTTTTCAGTAAAGCTTTGCAAAACTTGGATCTTTTTCCTTTCCACAACAAGTTAGTTTTTCCCTGTCTTTCAAGAATAATGTTGGACTCTGGATCAGAATTAGGATTGCATTATATCTGTAGATTGCTTTGGGTGGTATTGACATTTTCACAATGTTAAAGCTTCCTATCCATGAGTATGGCATATTCTTCCAACTATCTAAGTCTCTTTTGTTTTTTGTGGTAGTGTTTTGTAGTTTTCTTTGCAAGATCTTTTATTTCTATGGTTAGATTTATTTTTAAAGTTTCAATTGTGACTAATAGTGACATTGATTTTTTAAAGATTTATTTTTAAAGTTTAAGGTTGGTTACTATTATAAATGCCATTGTTTTCCTTATTTCTTTTTTCAGCGATCTCTTGTTATTGTAAAGAAATCTGCTCTCTCTTGGTTTTGTGCATATTATTATCTCCACAGGTCTGCCTAAATAAGATGGGCTGAATGAAAAATCTGGCGGAGAAAGCAATGGGCTTGACGGTTCTTGGGAGACATGAGAGAGGGGGAGGTGGGGGAAAGGAAGTGGTGTTAACAAATCCAGGGACAAGGGAGCAACGAGTGATCCAAAATCAGTGGTGAGGAGGGTGGAAGAGGCCTGGTAGGGCTTGATCAAGGGCAGTGTAACTGAGAGGAATTACTGCAACCCAAATGAAGGCTGACCATGGTAGTGGGACAAGAGGAAAGCAAAAGGAAAGAGAGGAAAGAACTAGGAGGCAAAGGGCATTTATAGAGATCTAAATACAGGCTAGTATATATTTAAATTTATTTATATATGATGATGGGGAAATAGATTTATGTGCATATATTTATAGGTTTAGTATTAAGGTAGCATATGGACATTGGCCTCCACTCAAGTATTCCATCAATGCAAGAATACTTTCTTCTATTTAACTGGCATTCCATGATGCTCACCTTCCTGACATGATCGCTAAAGACAAAATGGGTGCAAAAGCAAATGTGGTGAAGAAAGCTGATGGTGCCCAGCTATCAAAAGATATAGCATCCTAAAAGCTTGAAGATAAACAAGCGGCCATCTAGCTGAGAAGCAACAAAGCCCACATGGAAGAAGCACACCAGCCTGTGCAATCACGAGGTGTCAATGGGATCAGGTATGAGGCATCAAAGAACAAAAATTTTTATCATTATGAATGAAGGGGAATGCGGAATGGGGACCCAAAGCCCATCTGTAGGCAACTGAACATCCCCTTACAGAAGGGTCATGGAGAGGAGCCAGTCAGGGTGTAGTGTAGCAATGAAAAAACATACAACTTTCCTCTAGTTCTTAAATGCTTCCTCTCCACCTCCACTCCCCACTAACATAATCCCAATTCTACCTTACAAATTCAGCTAGACCACAGGATGTACACTGGTACAGATGGGAACTGGAAACACAGGGAATCCAGGACAGATGAACCCCCTCAGGACCAGTGGTGAGAGCGGAAATACTGGGAGGGTGGAGGGGAGGGGGTTAGAGAGGAATAATCGATTACAAGGATATACATATAGCCCCCTCCCTGGGTGGGTGAAGGGAGATGTTGGACAGTGTAAGACATGACAAAATAATAATAATAATAATTTTTAAAGTATTAAGGGTTCATGGGGGAGGGGGTGGTCAGGAAGGGGAAAATGAAGAGCTGATACCAAGGGCTCAAGTAGAAAGCAAATGTTTTGAGAATGATGATGGCAACAAATGTACAAATGTGCTTGACACGTGGATATATGCATGATTTGATAAGAGTTGTACAAGCCCCCAATAAAATGATTTTTTTAAAGTTGTGAAATCTTCATTTAAGAACTATGGATTTAAAAAGTCATATTTGATAGCTGTGCTTTTCTTAAATAAAGTAGAAGGTAAATGAAAAGAAAGAAAGAAGAAAGAAAGAAAGAAAGAAAGAAAGAAAGAAAGAAAGAAAGAGAAAGAAAGAAATCTGACTAACTGGTGTTGATCTTGTACCTTATAGCTTTCATAAATCTTTCCGTTAGTTTCAACAATTTTTTACCCAGTCTTTGGAATTTTGTATGTAAAGGATCATTTTATCTACAGAGTTCAACTTTTTTTTTTTGCCAATTTGGGAGCTTTGACTTTCCGTTGCTTGCCTGATGGCTCTAGCTAAGACTTCCAGCACAACAACGTACAGGAGAGATAAAGGGCATCTTTTCTGGTTCCTGATTGCAAGAGAAATGCTTTCAGTTTCTTCTGATGAGAGAATTGCTGGCTGTTGGTTTTGTGGATATACCCTTTATTATATTGAGGAATTTTCCTTCTCTTCTTAGTTGGTTAAGTGTTTTTATCAGGAATGGAGTTGGTTTTGTCAAATGTTTTTTACGTTTCCACTGATCTAATCATGTGGCTCTTTTCCTTCGTTTTATTTACATGATTATACACCCCCACCCACTCCCCCGACCCATCCCCACCCCCTTTTTTCTTTGTGTCTTGGTTTTCAGTCTGATTCCTGGAGTTATCTGGGGCGCTGATTCAGAAAATTGCATTGGAGAGACCAGATCCACTCTAATTTCTTAGATATGGTGATCCACTATGTTTTCAGCTATGAAGTATACAACTTTATTAATTCATCACACTAGTTTTAAATGTGAGACTAATTCAGACCCACAAATTACAGGATAAGACCAAAGACAAGGTTGAAAAATGTCTTTAGAATTAAATATTAAGAGACTTCCAAGGTCAGCTGTAGTGGGTCATGGTAGCTAGTGGGTTCTGCTTTGAGCTACCATTCATAAAATCAGGGTTTGAACCCACCAGTCACTTTGTAGCCTTTAAAGGATTTAAATGTTCGGAAACCCAAAGGAGCACATCTTCTCTGTTCTATAGGGCCACGATGAGATACGGCTGATTATAGCACAGTGTGTTTTTCTTTCGTACAGGAGGCTGTGCCATAAAGAGAGACTGCACATTGGGTACTGAGAAGCCAGGACACAGCTTGAAAAGAGTGAGAACTAAAAGAGAAAATTGAAAAGGTACACACCTGGAAGATGTGCGGACAATGCAGACTGTCAAAAATGGAAGACTTAATAGTAATTTCCATAAATGTTTTAAAGATCTACATTTTTCTTCTTCAAATTATGGAGTAAACAAGTCCGAACACATTTTAATATGTAGAAGCCAATGGGTCATTCCTGGTAAATGTGACAGAAATGAGGATGACTGCAAGCTTCTTCGTAAGAAAAATTCGAACTCTTCGTTGAAGAGTTTCTGAGCACAGCTGGAGATGTTGTGCCACCTGATAAGAAGACTGGAACATTTTAATAAAGGAACTTAAACTCAGACCCATTTTGCGTTTCAGAACATTTGAATCGCTATTAAACTGACTACCAATCAGCCAATTGTGACTCATAGTGACCCTATTGGACAAAGGTTGACATCCCTTGTGGATTTCTGAGAACAGAAAGTCTCTTCTCTGTCTTGCAGAGCAGTGGATGCCAATAGCTTACCGCATGGCTAGCAATCAAGCACTTAGCCCAAGATGCCACCAGGCTCCTTGTTGAGTACAGTAACCCTTTTCTCTGGTCTCTTTTGAAGTTAACAAGTTGGAACTGTGTGATGTTCGGTTTCTAATAAAGGTAAAGCATTACTTGGGGGGAAATTCTGAGTTCATGTAAT